TAGGATTTAGGGTTCAGGGTCCATGTACCCAATAACCAAGCACTTGGGATTTGGGTAGTAGTAGTTATAGTACAGGTTTTGGGTAAGTATATGATTATTGGGCTAGGGTATGGTTTAGGCTTTACAGGGCGTAGTTTAGGGTCCCAACCCTAAACCCTAAACAATGAAAAGACAAAAAACAACTTTATAGGGTCTTATTTAAGATGTAGGGTCCCGGGTCGAGGGCTGCAACTGTATGTTTCGGCTTGTGTAACCTGAGGAAGAGGAACCCCAAAAAGTGTCAAAGTACTAAACATGTAGGAATGAAAGAACCACCAGAAAGAATCTAGGGATTCGGGATTAGGGCTTAGGGCCCTAAACTCCATAGGGCGCAACAACCTTTTGAATGTCTCTATGAGGGCACCCCGAATCCCCTAAATCCCGTATGGACCGAAAATCACTCAGAACCAAATCGCGGATGACGTTGTCCATGGGGTACCGCAAGTTGTCATGGCCCCCCTGCTGGCGGATGACCGACAGCTCTTCCTGGGAATGGGAGGTTGGGGGGTTTACTGTAGGTCCCTTTAAAGGGGTTCATAGGGGTTGTATCGGGATAATGGAAAAGAGAATGGAAACTACGATTTAGGGTTTTGTGTGGGATTTGGGATGTAGGGTTCCCCCTAAGTAGATTAGGGATTAGAGTTTAGGGAATAGGACTTAGGATTCAGGGTTTGGGGTTTAATGTTTAAGGGTTTAAGGATGTAGGGTTTAGGGTTCTAGGGTACTAGGATTTGGGGTCTAGGGTCGAGGGGAATAGGGTTTTAAGGTACACGGATTTAGGGCTTCTGGTTCCACAGTTCTGGGGTTTAGGGTTCGGGTACTAAACGTAGGGAGCATGGGGACTGCATTGGGGCTATGGAGGATACGTGAGGCTTAGGGTATGAGGACACGATAACGAAGAATCAAAACGAAAAGAAAATGGAGCATGAAATGGACGTTGCGTGCAAATTGTATGTATACATATACACGACGTCTTACACAAGGGCTGAAGGCACGTACATTAAGATACCCTAATTAGGATGCCTGCTATGCATTCACATAATAGTAACTTTCTTTGACTTCCTGCACGCCCTCTATATAACCCCAGCTTCCATGTCATGTTCTGTTTCTTTTGGCTCTCCATTAATGGCGTTAATTAAAACATCATGGTGGCTCATCTCTTAACCCCAGCCCCTCAGCCCTAAACCCAAAACTTGTAAACCCTAGGCCTCTTATTAAACCCTAAACCCTAAACAACCCAACCCAGCTTCTGCCAGCTGCGGGTGCGCTCGCAAGGCCCCGGTGGAAATTTGGAGCGTCTTGGTCGTCCTGTTGAAGACCTAGGGGTTCTGGAATCTGCGCAGGAACCCTCCTCAAGCAAGGGTTTAGGGTTTAGGGTATGAACGCGTAGGTTTGAGTTTTAGGGTAGCTGTGTATTGGGGATGGGCGAAGACAACTTGCTTTCAGGATAGCTGCAGGAGCCCAAGTGAGAGCTACTGAAGTGGACCATGAAGCCCCCTTTTGAGATCCTGAACCCTGAATCCTAAACCCTCAATCCTCAACACTAAATCCTAACCCCTAAATCCTAAACCTGAAGCCCTGAAGAGTCATACAACAGAAGTAGTTTGGAGAAAAAGGCGCCCCCTGCACCAACGGTTGCATCCTGAAGCATATAAGTTTAGAGTTTAAGGTTCAGGCTCTTGCTTGAATACCCTAAACTGGCACCCTCCACATCATGGGTTCCCCTACCACGCCCCTCCCATACTACCCCCCCTAAGGCTCCTCTTTGAAGGAGGCTAGTTAGAGAGAATTAGGCTGAATGGAGGTCAATAGGAACCCTCGGGGTGGGTGGAGGTCAGTAGGGGACCCACGATATAAGCTTTGAAGGAACTCCCACCTGACAGGAACTATATGTTGGTTTTCTATGGGGCCCTAAACCCTGAAACCTAAACACGCACACCCGAAACACTAAACCTTAAAACCCTAAACCCTACAACCCTCAACCCTAAAACCATATACCATGAACCTCTGCGAACAACTGCCCACCTGGGGGTCAATACCCAGGGCCTTCAGTTGGTCAGCTGTCAGCTCTTTATTCTCCTCACTGGTCATTCTTTCTTCTAAATGTGGCGGTTATATTGGGGTTTAGGTAGCGACATACAGGGCTCTATTGGGGTTACATAGTCATAACAATTTCAAAGCCCCAAACTTAAGCCAATTTGGGCGTACCACCATTAAGGTGAGGTCGTTAGCGCAGGTCCTCATCGAAGAAGTTGAAGGGCTCTTGCTCCCAGCGGGTCATCTTTGACACATCGGGGAACCTGTGAGCTTGTGAGACAAGGGGCTAACCGAGGCATCCTATAGGGGATGGAAAGGGATACAAACGGGATTGTGGGGGGCCCCTTATGTTCAGGGTTTAGGGTGTAGAGGTTTCGGGTTTAGGGTTTAAGGATTCGATGCCCAGACCCCCCATGGGACCCCCCAAAAAGGAGCCTCTCAATGATCCCTCAGTTTCCTCGAGCTAGCACAGCGGTGTCCTTCTTGTGGGCTCCAGCAGTGGATCTTTTTTTCACGACCTAGGTACGAACTCTACGCCCCCAAAACTCTTGATCCTCAAGCCCTGAACCCCAAGCCCTTGCCCCAAACCCTAATCCCCAAACCCCGTACCCCACACCTCAATACTGAAACCGTAAAAACCTTAAACCCAAACCCTTAACCCTGAAACCCCAAAAACCCAAACCCTGAACCCTAAACCCCAAACCCTAAAGACTAAAACCCTCAACCCTAAACCGCAAACCCTAAACCCCAAAACCCCAAACCCCAAACCTAAAACCCCAAACCCTAGAACTCCAAACCCACAACCCAAACCCTCAACCCCAAACCCTAACAGCCAAAGCCCTGAAACCCTCAACCCTAACCCCCAGACCCCAAACCCTAAAACCCCAAACCCAAAAACATCAAATTCAAAAACCTAAACCCTGAACCCCAAAAGCACAAACATTAAACCCTCAACCCCAAATCCTGAAACCCTACAACCCCAAACCCTGAACCCTAACCCTACACCCCAAACCCTGAAATCCTAAAACCCTCAAACCCCGAACCCTAACCCCTAAA